TGAACCACTCTCACAGGCCAAGGGAGGTGCAAACCTGGTTCAGCTTCTCCTTCCCCCTGCCCCTTCCTGGCTTTGTTCTCCAAATGGAGAAGTCAATCCCATAATAACAGGCAAACAGCCACTCAGCTGCTTGCTTCAGCCTTCCCAAACTGATTGTTTTCCAGCCCTTTCAGAGAGTTCTTCCAAGACCTGGAGTGCTGCCTGGTAATGGGCTGTAATTTAGCACCCAGCAATTGTTGTGATTTCAGGAAATCGTGGGGTGCTTTCCCTTGTCACTGAACAGTGGCCTTTGTGTGTTTGTGGCACCTGGGAGCAGGAGAGCTGCTCCTCCCTTAACAGAGGGAGCAATTCCACACTCTGGATTCTCCAGGATCTTCACTGTTCCTTGTTGTAGGCTGGGAGAAGCTCATGCTGTAGGAGGAACTGCACTGATCACTTGAGACTTTCAATTGTGGTGAAAAAAGGAACAGTTCCTTCCCTCCGTGCTGTGTGTATGAACTGCTGGTAGCTGCATGCAATCCCACAAAATCTCCTCCATTCCTGTTCTCAGGGCCCCAGGTCGGAGAGGAGGAAGCGCAGGCGGGGCAGACAGGCCGAGGCTGCCGGAGGGGAGGAGCTGCAGCTGCCGCCTCCCCAGGGCCCCCTGGAGATCGTCAAGGAGGTGGTGGCAGAGGATGGCACCGTCATGACCATCAAGCAGGTCATCCCTGGAGCTGCAGAAGACAGGTCTGGCTCAGAGGAAGAGGAGGAAGAGGAAGAGGAGGAAGGTGGAGCCCCGGGCCAGCCCGTGGAGCCGTGCCCGCGCTCCAGCGCCATGGTGGCAGTGAAGCACGGGGTGCTCTACGTGTACGGGGGCATGTTTGAGGTGGGCGACCGCCAGGTGACCCTCAGTGACCTGCACAGCATCGACCTGCACAGGATGGAGCAGTGGAAGGTGCTGCTGGAGATGGATCCAAGTAAGCTCTGTGCTGGGAGCTCTCCCTGTGCCTTCAGGGCAGCAACACTGCGGGAGAAAACAGCTCTGGGGCTTCCTCAGGGCTGGTGGAAAACCTTGGAGTGGAGGTTTTCCCTGGATGGGAAAGAGTGGCTTACCTGTGTGGGCCAGAGCTTTGGGGTCACTGTACAGTCAGCTCTGCCCTGTGGAAATCCAAGAGCTGTAAACAGAGCTGTGGTGGCATGGGCCATTCTGGGAATCCTGCTGTGCCAGCCTTGTCCACTCCTCCAGGGAGCAGGGATGCCCCTGCCTGTCCCCAGTGTCTCAGGGCTTGGGTCCTGCAGAGCACGTGGGCATTACCTGGGGTAGCTCTTCGTGCCTTGGTTATCTCTTTGGACCTTAATTCTCTTTCTGTGCCTCTCCTCTCTTTCCTTTTCTCATCCAAGAAACCCAGGAATGGCTGGAGGAGTCAGAGTCAGATGAAGAGGAGGATGGTGATGTGGAAGGTGCAGAGGGAGGGGAGGAAGAAGAAGAGGAGAGTTCTGAAGAGGAGAGTGAAGATGAGGAAGGTAATTACTAACGAATGCTGTCTCCATACTACCCTAAAGTGGGGTTTAGTGCAATGCCTGGTTCTGTGGGAACCTGAAGGTCTCCCTGGCATCCAGGTGAGTTTCAAGCAGCTTTCCTAACACTTTACTCTTGGAATAAAAGAGGAATTTTCCTGCTTGCTGCTAGATTTTCAGGCTGTTACCTTCAGCCCCACGTGGCCTGGCTGCTGTGGCCCTGGTGAGCTGGGTGTGACCTGTGTGTCCCTCTCTTTGCCCAGGGGAGCAGCAGCACCCAGCAGTGCAGCCTGGGGAGGCCCAGGCCCAGTACTTGGCCAGGACAGAGCAGTACTGGCTGGGGCTGGCCCGCAGCCACATGGGCCCCGAGGCCAAGGACAAGAAGGTGCTCAAGGTGGCTCATGCCATGGCCAAGACTTTCTATGAAGATCCCATCCAGACGTCCTGAGGCTGCTCCAGGAGTGAAGGAACGTGCTGGGAGCAGTGGCCAGCCCTGCTGAGCTCAGCCCCGTGTCCATCCTGGCTCCAGCCTTTCCCAGCTCTGGGCTGACCGTCCTGGATGGATGCTCTGGATCTGCTGGAACTCCTGGGAATGCTCTGGGAGGCTCCTGAGGAACAGGATTGCTGTCCAAGCACTTGTTCTGGGCTGTACAACACTGACTCTGTTGTTCCAAAGTTGTCTGGGGTATGTCTGGACAAACTGTGCACATGACAATGGTTCACTGGTCCCAGATTCCTCAGTGGGGCCAGGACGTGTCTCCAGGTGTTCCTACAATAAACTCACTTGGTTATATCACCTTGTTTTGCTCAGTAAATCCCATCCCAGCTTGTGTTCTTGTTTTCCTCCTGGTGTGGAAGAGGGATTGCAGTTCCTGTTGTGACACCTGCAGGCAGTGTAAAGTGCACCAGCAGCTCTGGGATGGCTGCAAAAACCTGGGAATCCTTCCCTGCCTTACCTGTGAGATGCACTCACAGAAACCTCTTCCTTTTCCATGTTCACCATAGTTTTGCCTTTGTGGAATGTCCCAGTTCAGTTTTTCCCCCTGTTGGCCCAGCTGTCCTGCAGGTGGCCTCGTGATGGCCAGTGAAATGTCCACCTGCAGACCTCACTGAGGCCAGGGCTGCTCCAAGGCTTTGTTTTTCAGCCCCTCTCCTCAAGGCATCCCTTCCTTCCCAGCAGAGCAGTGCTGTGTCCCTGGGGACAGCAGATGGGATCCAAGTGGTGCTGCAGCAGCCCAGCGATGCCTGGAGGTGCCACCAGGGCTGGCTGGGAATTCCAGGTGCCCTGGGTATTGCTGTGGCAGGGCCATCCCCAGGGATGCAGCTCCAGAGAGCAGGGCTGGGATCTGCTGCGCTCATTAGGACAGAAGGAAGATGAAATAGAGCTGCCAGGGAGCTTTAATTGGTGAGATAAAAACATGGCTGGTAGGGAGGGACCTTCCCCACAAAATAACAGGTGAGAGGTGGAAGCAAACCATTTATTGATAACCTGGGAGAGGAGAAAACAGCATTTATTTATGATCTGGGAGAGGAGAAAGCATTTCTTGTTAATCCAGGAAGGAATCTCTTGGCTTGCTCAGTCACTCACCCTGTTGTCCTCTCACCTGGGTGCGTTCACATCTTTCTGTGCAGAGTTTTGGGGGATTTGCCTCTCCCTGGGAGGGTGGGCAGGCCCTGGCACAGGTGCCCAGAGCAGCTGTGGCTGCCCCTGGATCCCTGGCAGTGCCCAAGGCTGGGTGGATGGGGTTTGGAGCACCCTGGGATAGTGGAAGGTGTCCATGGCAGGGGTGGGACAGGATGAGCTTTAAGATCCCTTCCAACCCAACCCATTCCATGATTCCATGATCCCACAACTGCTGCAGTCATTCAGGAGCTGTGCAAGGAGCTGAGCTGTTCCTGAAGCAGGAAAAGCTGTCAGGACTCTGTTCCCTGCAAAGGCCTCACCCCAGCTCAGGAGATCCCATCCCAGCCCTGCTCTGTCCTGCCTCAGCACAGCCCTCTGGAGCCACCCTGTCTGTGTGCCAGCTTCCAAAAACGCCCGCTTTCCGTGCTCCCTGCACTCGCCAAAGCTGCCGAGTGTAATTAGTCCTTAGGTCTCAATTAAGCCCTCCGCCGTGGGTCCCACCCTGTTTGTGCCGTCGCTCCTCCCTCTCTGATGCAGTCTGGCTGTTTTCCTGGCAGGGATGCTGCCACGGCTCGGCAGCTCTGGAAGCTGGGGCTCTGGGACTGCTGGAATCTGGGTCTTGGGTACAACCACCCAGACACCAGATGGGCTGGGAGCAGCTGACGTGGCACAGGGGGTTTGTCTTCCTTCCTTCCTTCCTTTCCTTCCTTTCCTTCCTTTCCTTCCTTTCCTTCCTTTCCTTCCTTCCTTCCTTCCTTCCTCTCTCCCTCTCTTCCTCTCTTCCTCTCTTCCTTCCTCTCTCTTCCCAAGGATGCAGTGCTGGAGCAGCCCCTCTCACACAGGTGGGATCCAAATCTCCCTTCCCAAATTCCCCCTTCCCCATTGCTCTGCTGTGCCAGCCACTCCTGGTGCTGGCAGAACATAAAAATTCCAGTGCAGCCTTAAAAAATGATCCAAACCTTCAACTGACCAAGTGCAGCTGCCAGCCTGGACATAAAGCAGCAGGGCTGGATCATTTCCATGGATTTATGGCCCACCTTGATGGGCATTTTAATGGGCCTTGGGCAGATCTGCAGGAGCCAGGCTCATAAGACAGGCAAATACACTGAATTACCTCTCTCTCTGGGCTACTTCTCAGCAATATTTCTGGCCTTGGGCAAATGTGAAAAGCCCAGGACTGAGACAAATTGCTCAACTCCCCGGGATTAAGAAAGGAATCATTATTTTGGACCGTGTGGGTTGGGAGCCAATTAATATTAGTCTGTGGCTGTCTTTCCTCCTGAGCAAACCTCAGCTTGACTGAGTGCAACAGAGAGCTGAAAAATCCTGTGCTGGTCCAGGGGCAAGAGCAGGAATAACTGGGCAGGCAGCAGTGGGAAAAATCCAGTCAGGAAACCAGCAGTGCTTTTATTTGATGGATAACAAGAGGCATTCTGGTGCTGTTTTACAGATATCTAAATATCTGTGTCTGCAGGGCTGTGTTTAACCTGCTCCTTTGTGTCTTGCACTCGAATGCACAAAAAAAAAAAAAAGTCCTCAAGAGTCTTTCCAAAGAGTAGAAGCAGAATTCCAAATCCCAGGGGTGAATTCCCAAGGCTGCAATCCCAATGTGGTTTTTTTTTTTGGTTCATTTCAAGTGTGCAACAAGCCTTGAAGAGGGGAAAAAAAATTATGACTAAGGACCCAAAAGGAAAATCCAAAACAACACAAAAAAAGGAAGAGGTGGGAAGATGATGGACAGTTACTGTGGAAAATGGAATTTCAAAATTATCCTTTCCCCTGTCCACCCATAGCCCTGTGCCTGGAAAGGGAAAGGAAGGAGAAGAGGAAGCAAAACTGCGACAGGAGGGAATCAGACCATGTAAGGAAAAGAACTGAATTTAACTGGCACATGCTCTAATCCTTAGTTTATTTCTGGTTAAAAATATAGCAATCCAGTGCAGTGTAATAAGAAATCTGCTGAAAAGGTAGCAGAGAAACAGCTAAAACAGAAGCAAAGCAAAGCTGAGTCCACGAGTCCGGGCTGGATCCAACAACTCTGGACGTGAATGTCGGGGAGGGCTTTTCCCTCCTTCCCCACCCCCAAAATCTCCTGGGACGGTCTCACCCCCCTCGGGAGCTGCCGCCCTCCTGCGCCCTTCTCCTGCTGCAGCCGCAGGGGGGGATGAGGGGCGGGTTTGCTCCCTGGCCCTGCCAAATCCCAAAGGGGCCGCGGGAGCTGCTGGTGGGGGAGCACCGAGGGCAGGGCGGGGAGCGCTGCGAGCGCCGCTGCCCCGGGCTGGAGCTGAGAGCGCGCTGTGTCATCGGCACCACGACAGCTCAGAACAGGGATACGCATCTTTAATGAGTATGCAGGTTATCCGTGGGGACAGGGAGGGGACAAAAATCAAGGCAGGCATAGTACAAAGATGGTAGAAACGAACAAATTAAGTGGCCTTGAAAAAAAAAAAAAAAAAAGAAAGAAAATACATCCTTAGAGGCTGCCATTGCCAATGATGTTTGGTTTGATTTTCTTTTTTTTTTTCTTTTTTTTTTAGTTCTTTTTTTTCTTTTTTTTCTTTTTTTTTCTTTTTTTTTTAATACAGGGACATGTTGGAAGCTGGAATATACATCCTGCATTACAAAGTGCAAAATACTACATGCTCAGAGCCCAAGCATGATGTCTGAAACAGTCCACAGCAAGATGTAAGAGACAAACCCACCACCCTCTCCCTCCTCTCTGGGACATGCTCCAGGTGCTCCTCCCCAGGTGCCTTTGAGAAACAGTTGGATTTTTGCTTGGTTTTGTTTTATTGTCATCCTCAGTGGATTGGAATTGAGCCCTCTGTCCCCTGTCCCTCCCCACCCTGCTCCCTGTGCACGTTTTTTGGGATGGGCTGGATGCTCCTCACCAGCACAGCACCATCAGCCACTCCTGCCGTGCTGCTGGAGGTGCCTCCAAGGGGTTTTTGGGGGGGATTTTTAGCCAGGAGAAATTGGCTGTGAATTAAAAGTAGCTCTGGGTGGTTTTCCTGCCTTGCCATGGGTGAGGAGCAGCCTGGGGAGGAGGAGTGAAGGCAGGAGGGTGCTGGGGCTGCTGCTCACACCTCGTGTTCCCTATTACCCCTGCCCCGAGGAATTCTGCAAAAAGCCAATTTTTGTTTTAAAAACAAGGGGCCTGTTCTGCCATTTTCCCATCCAGCCAGGGCTCATTCCTTCCCTGTGCTCCTTCTCTCCTCCTTCTCACGGCAGCATTCCTCCATTTCCAAAGGGTGAAAAGCCTGGTTCTGCTTTTCTCTCCCATTTATCATTTGGATTTCCCTGGGAAGCTCAGCCTGGAGCATCCCAGAACCCGTCCCCACTCCACCCAAACCTTCCCCATGGTCCCCTTGTCTCATCTCCATTTTGGGGTTCATTGCTGTTGTTACAAAGACAATTTTTTTCTTTTGTGGGGGGGTGAGGGGAAGGGAAGCGAGGTTTTTTCTTTTGTTGGGATTCCTTCTCATCCTTCCCAGTGTTGGGGGGGCAGAGTGTTGATAGCATTTTGCCATGCCACACAGCATAGTGTTATACAAGCAAAGAATTTTGGCTAAAATCCAAAAAACATTACCCAGGAAAAAAGGCAAACTGTGAGTGAGACTCGATCATTTGTTGTTCTTCTGTGAAAAGACTTGGAAATTGTCAGAGGACAGTTCGAGTTACGATTCTTCCCTTTGTTTTTTTTTTTTTGTTGTTGTTGTTTGGTTCTGGTTTTTTTGTTTTGTTTTTGTTTTTTTTTTTTTTTTCCCCCATTCATACATGTAACTGTTATTTTTGCAAACAAGACAGTCTTGAATTAGATGAAAAAGTTAATAAACAAAATGGCGACTCCAATATTTAGTAAGATCACCATGACTACCAGGATGGGAGCTGAACCCTGCAAGAGAAAGAGAAGGACAGGAGTTAGATGGATCCTTGGAATTGTGCAGGGATTCCAGGAGAATCTGGGGAGAATCCAGGAGAATCTGCTCTGGGGAGTCCAGGCAGCTCTGGGGATGAGCAGATCCCAGCTGACACCTCCCAGAGTGCCCAGGAACCCCTGGAGGATTTTTGAAGCTGCCAAACAAATGCTTGGCTGAACCCCCTGATGGATCATGGATCATCCCTTGCCACTCCCATAGGAACTCTGGCCTTAAAAACAGAACTAAAATTGGTTGTTTATCAAGTGGTCAATGAAAAGGAAAAAAAAAAACCCCAAAAACCCAGATTATATGGGATCTTAGAGTGGTTTGGGGATGGTTTGAAGTAACCAGGATATTTCCCAATAAATGTAGTTGTTTTCTAGGTATCCTGGATATCAAGCCAGCACATGGGGGTCCATGTTCAGGCAACATTTTGGGAATGCTCTAATAACCTTTCCTGAGTTTATATGGACCAAATGAAGCTCCTGGGAACCACCTGGCAGTGCCCAAGGCCAGGTTAGATGGGCTTGGAGCAACCTGGGACAGTGGAAGGTGTCCCTGCCATGGCAGGGGTGGGATGGGATGGGCTTTAAGGTCCTTCCAACCCAAACCAGGCCAGGATTCTGTGATTTCACCTGGAAAGCATTGCAGGAACCCCACTGCAGCTGCCCTGTGCACACCCCACACCAGCTGGGCTGAACATCTCAGGAAAGGTTCAATTCCTTGGGGAGCATCCATTGCTTCCCCTGGAGCACGTCCTGGACAATCCTGTGGGACCCCACCACCATCCCAGCAACATCAGGGCACTGCAGGCAGCCCTCCAACACATCCTTCTGCAGGACAGGTCAGGAAAACATCCCTGGCACCTCATCCATCCCTGGCACCTCATCCATCCTGGCACCTCATCCCTGGTGCCACAGTGTGAGTGTGGCTCGCACAGGGGTGAGCGCTGCTGGCAGCAGGTGGGTGGTTGCTTTTTCTTGGATTTGCTGGGATCCTCAGCTATTCCTGCTGTATCCCAGGGCTGGGATGCTCCAAATGCTTTTCCCCAGGCTCCTGCCCCCTCCTGGCACTCCCCAGGTCGCTGGGATGGAGTGGGGACAGGGCTGGGCACCCCCTGGGAGCTTTCCCTGGGTGGCTCTGCGGAGCTGCTGGAAAAGGAAGGGCAAGAAGCAGCTCCCGGCTGCCCGGGGATGGTTTCTGTTCCGAGCAGCCTGATTCAGCTGCCGTTTGGGAGTGGGTGGGAGCGAGGATGCTGGAGCCTGCTGGAAAGGCATATTTGTAGCTTAGCAACAGGGTCAAAGGCAGCCAAGCCAAGGCAGGGATTGCGGAGAGCAGCCAGGTACCCATCCAGGGCTGGCTGCTCCTGGCAAACCTCTCCTTCTGTGCCACGAGAAGCTTCCAAAGGCAGCCAGCACCCCCTGCTCGCTGCTCCTTCCCTTCCCCAGCCCGGCCGTGCCAAGCCCGGCCTTGCTGGCGCTGGGAGGGATTAGCTGCATTTCAGAAGATTATTGGGTTTTAGGGTTTTTGAGCTGCTGGTAATATAATAACAGATTGCAGGCGATTATCAGTGTCATTGTTTGCCTTGGCACGGCCCTGCTGGGGCACGGAATGAGCTCCTGCCCCGGCCCCGCAGGCAGGGAGGGCTCAGCCCCATCCCTGGGCTGCCCCATGGAGGAATTCCCTGCCAAAACAGCACAGCCAATGCTGCCCCTGCTCCAGTTCCCTGTTCCCCCACTTTGGGATGCAGCTGAGGTTCAGCCTTTGGGGAGGGAGCTCAGCCTTCACTGCTCACTTCTCCCAAGAAACAGCAGCAGGACAAGAGGAATCAGCCTCCAGTTGTACCAGGGAGGTTCAGATTGGATATTTGGGAATAATTCTTCACCCAGGGCAGTGGTGGAGTCCCCCTGCCCAGAGCTGTGTGGATGTGGCACTTGGGGACATGGGGCAGTGCTGGGGGAATGGTTGGACTCAATTCCAGAGCGTTTTCCAGGTAAATGATCCTGTGGTTCTGTGATTTGCACACAGGGCATCAAAGCTGTGCTCTCAGCTGGAAAATCAGGGGGATAGAAGGAAAACATCTGCCAAGGATGGGAATCCACACCAATATCAGCTGAGCAAAAGGATCCTTCTCTTTAACAGATTGGACCTCCAAGGATTTTAAAGCTTTGTTTCCAAGCTTAAAGAATAGAAACTTAGGCTTTAACCCATGGACACACTAAAATAGGAATAAGCCATGGTTATGGCACAGGAGTAATAACAGTAATTGTAGCTGTAGAGTAATCCCTGCCCCTCTGCCTTGTTTGTTTTTATCCTGGAACTGTTGTGTAGCAACTCCGGAGTTTTTCTGGGAATACGACGGACAGCTGGTTTACAAATGCAATTGTGGCATAATTAATTTAAGCATTAGCAATCCATTATTATCTGTTATCACAGGGTACAAGCTCTGCCTCTCTGCCATGGAAACCAGAGTGCAGGTTACCTAGGAATCCCTCTGGGATCTATTAAGTGTAATTACTAAGGACTTGGATCAGCAAAAAAAAAAAAATAAAATACATAGATATGCACCATTTTCCAGCCTCAGCACTGCAGAAAAGGCTGCAAACTTAGCAGCTCGGTGACATTTGTGCTGAATTGTCACATCATTGCCAGGAACAGGCTCTGTGAAATGGTTAAGGAGCATTTAGCAAAGGAAACATCAGGGAGCCACTTGGCTTTCTCCAGCGGATTGCAGCAGCTCCCGTGGCTCCAGGAAGGGGACCAGGAGATGCTAAAAGTGCTTGTGTGAGTGAAAGTGAGTTGGGTGGGATGGAAAAACCTGCTTCTAGGGAAAAAAAGGCTAACAAATGAGAGGTTATCCTCTTAGAGATCCTTTAGCCTCTTAAAGAACTGATTTGTCACCCCTGGTTCAATCCTCACCTTCCAGGTGCTCAGTGTTTGTTTAGGTATGTTTGAAGCTCTCATTTTAAGATTTTTATACTAAAAACAGCAGTCACAATTTGTTTCTAATACAGTCAAAAGCTGGTGTTTGGCTCCAAATTTTCCAAGCTAAGAGATGGAATTGGGCTCAACCCCCATAGCCAGTGATAGGAGCAGAGCCAAGAAGGTGCTCCCTGGTACATCAAAGGCCCTGGAGATGAAAAGGCTTTGAAAAGGACCCTGTCGAGTTGAACATCCCATTTCTCTCTGAAGATTATTTACCTCAGGTTGTCTGAACACGAAAGGGATTAGAGGAGGAACAGTTTGTGATTATTATTTGTCTTAAGAAGAGACAACCCTTGCAGCAATGCTCAGCCCTGCCTCATTCCAGGGCTGTGATGGCAACAGGACTCCTCTTCCTCCTTATTCCCATGAAATTATGGATTCTGTTTGTCTGGGCACGCAGCTACCAGCCGGGATTGAGGTGAATCTGGTTGCTTGAGATGACAGGAATAAGGAAAACCCAGGGATGATTGTGTTGGGAAACCTGGGGATGGCTCCTGATGGGGAAAGAAATAAATGGGAAAACCTGAAGCTGGAAGGACACAGGGATAAATCACAGGGTTTTATCCCGGGGAGGTTCATGCCAAACAAGTCCCCAGGTTCCCAAATGGGAACACCTCCATGCACAGGGGATGTTCACACCCCAAACAGGCTGGGGTGGAGAAAACACCCAGGTTTTATTTCTAACTCATTTTACGACCTTTAGGGCTAAAGGTGCCTAAAAAAGGAAGGGAAATTCATCTCCACCTGGGATGAATCCCTTCAGGAATAACCTGGCAGCTCTGGCAAGGGTGTTGCCCTGTTCTTCTAAAGTTCTAAGCCTTCTGATGTTTACATTTTTGTAATGGAGTTTCTCACGCACTTTTCATGTAAATAATGATTGTTCTGCATTCCTTTCTAGAGGAAGAGAGAATTGATGAACTGTTGGTTTGACCAGTGTGATTGGAGAGGTGGCAATTTCATCCTCCAATCCATGGTCACTTTTGGAATTCTATAAATATCGAAGTCGGGAAATAAATGTGCTTTTTTTTTTTTTTTTTTTTTTTTTTTTTGCCTTGGACATCTCAGCGTGTGAGTATCGTTCATTTCGTGTGGTATTGCAAGAGCACGGGGAGATCCAGCGGGGAGGTGCCGCTGCCGGGCTCCATCCCCGCTGCCGTGCCGGGGGAGGCTGTGCCGAGCCCCGTGCCCGCAGCCCCGGCAGCTCCCTGCAGATTGGCTGCGTGCTCCTGCCTTTCCCCAGCGACAGCGAAACCTGCCTGCAATATCTGCTGGCAAATCCGCCCCTCAGCCGCTCGCTGCCGGAGGAGGGAGGGAGTGAGGGAGGAAGGGAGGGAGAGGCTGCCGGGATCCCTCCCCGCCACCCCCGCAGGGGCACGGAGGGCTCTCGGAGATCCCTCAGCCGGGAGATGCCTTTAGAGCCTCTGCTGCGGTTCTTTCCCCGGGAATTTTTGCATTTGGGCTGGGATTTGCTCTGTGTGATGCTGCGGGGAACAGCCAGGACTGGCTTTGGGCTGCTGCCCTCACGTCTTTGGGGTGCGACAGGACAGGGCACCGTGAAGGGCCGAGCCTCGGGCCCCTCACACCCCGGTGCTGAAGGACCGAGCCTCGAGCCCCCTCTCACACCCCGGTGCTGAAGGACCGGGCTTCGAGCCCCCTCATGCCCCCAGTAATGAAGGACCGAGCCTCGAACTCCCTCATGGCCCCCGTGCTAAAGCACCAGACCTGGAGCCTCCTCACGCCCCCGGTGCTGAAGGGCCGAACCTCGAGCCCCCTCACACCCTCACACCCCGGTGTGAAGGGCCGAACCTCGAGCCCCCTCACACCCTCACACCCCGGTGTGAAGGGCCGAACCTCGAGCCCCCTCACACCCTCACACCCCGGTGCTGAAGGGCCGGGCCTCGAGCCCCCTCACACCCCGGTGCTGAAGGGCCGGGCCTCGAGCCCCCTCACACCCCCGTGCTGAAGGGCCGGGCCTCGAGCCCCCTCACACCCTCGTGTGAAGGGCCGGGCCTCGAGCCCCCTCACGCCGCTGGTGCCCTCAGGCAGATCAGGGCGGTCCCTGAAGGCTCTGCTGAGCGGGAACAGGGGGTGATGGATCAGGCGGTGCCTGAGCCCGGCCCTTCCCGCTGAGCTGCTCCGTGCCCAAAGCACTTCTCCTCCCTTCCAGAAGCGGCAGATGTACAGCACCTGCAGGGAAAGAGATCTGCTCCCTTCTCCTCCTCCCCAGCCCTGACACGGGCTGTGGTTTGTGGATAAAACGCTCGCTGGCGTTTCAGAAAAATCCTTTCCCTTCCCAGTCTCTCGACAATTCCTTTTTTTCATTTCCCATTTTACTTCTCTTCAAAGGCTTCTGTGAAGCACCCAGGCCCAGGCTTTGTGCCTCATGGGCCTTTAAGCCTGGGAGGGATGGGGACATTCCCGTAAATCCCTTAATCCCACAACACCGGCACTAGTCCTGGCACATTGGCTCCCGTTTTCCTCTGCCCCAATGCTGACAATTGCTCTGAGTTTGTCCTCTGGGTGCTGGGGTCAGTGCCCACAGAGGCACAGAGAGAGATCAGGTGGCCTTAAATGTCATTTTAAACCATTTGTGTGGCTCAGTGACCCCAAAACCCCAAATCTCCTGAGAGCCAACACCAAGCAGTGCTGAATTTCATCTACGTTACTGAGCTGTGGCCTCAAGAAATGACCTTTATGAGAGGATTTTTCAATTCCTGGTGTGCAGCCCCAACAAAGCGGGATGATTCTGGGAGTTTCTTTTAAAGGGCTGGGGAAAAGTGGCAAAGTTCCTACAGCTCCTATAGACTCTTCTGTGGAGTCTGCATCCCTGCCTGTGCAGCTTTGGAAAAGCTTGGATTCAAGGCCCTGTGGCTCCCAGCTTGTTTTTCAGACGGGAATGAGGAGCAGTCATTATTTTGGGGAGTGTATTTGTGAGACCTGCACGCCCAGCCTGTTCCAGCACTGGCAGAGGTGTGCTGCCTCTGGAAGCTGGAGCTGCCACTCCAGCACAGAGCCAAGCCCTGGGCTCATGAATGGCTTGTGCAGAGCTGGTTTAGGGCAGATTATTTTTAAAATAAGCTAAGCCGTGAGGGTGACCTCGCTTCTGCTCAGGGATACCTCAGGTAGGGCAAAAATAGCCGTGTGCTCAGCTCTGAGCATCCCTCCTGCTCATGGCAGCTCCTTTCTCTGGGAGCCCAGCTGGAGAGAGCTGGGAGCTGCCCTTGGAGCCCCTTCTTTTGAGGGAGCTGGCACTGCTGGCACCCAGGGGTGAGGCTGGAGCAGTGTGGGCCCTCACACACCTGCCCACAGCCCTGCCAGGCCCCAGGAAAGGAGGATTTCAGGCCAGTGTAGGGAATTGGGCTTTGGCGGGGGACTGGGGAGCCTTGATTTGCTGTGGGGGTATGTGGAGCTGGAGCAGGATTCAGGGAGGATTTGCAGGATGGAGTGTGTGAGTGTCTGTGTTGTGTGGGGATGGATGTGGGGTCTGTGGGATGAATCCTTCCCCCTCAGCCTTCCCTCCTCCTCCTCCTCAGGGATTCACCACTCCCTGAAGTCTGAAATGCTTCTGATGGCAGGTGAGGTCACAGATTTGGGCAGGAGGTTGGAGCACAGATCCTGCACCTCCCATTCTTCCCCTACACCTTCCCCTGCTCCTGTCCAGCCACCCCCTCTCTGCCAGGCCACTGGAACAAAACCCTGCTAGCACCGTGCAATTCCTGCTAGAACAAATTGTTGCTGGCATTGTGGGTTATTTAAATCCACATATTATCTCTTCCTCTGTATTACATTAGCTTCCTCCCAAACCTTCGCCATCTGTTCCACCCTCGGTTATGAATGTGAGAAAACTGAACATGCTGCTCCGCAGCTCCAGCACTTCCAAAGTAGGATGTGCATCCTAATGGCTTTTCCATGCACTTCTCCACGCAGGCTGGGCCCTTCCTGAGTGGCCAGGACTCGCTGGGAATGGCCAGGAATGTCTTGGGGGCTGTTTGCCTCCAGCCATGTGGAGAGAGGTTTATTGTGACAGCTCAGAGGCGGGAGCACATCTGATGGGCTGGGTGGGGATACAGCCCAGGGCTGCTTGTGCCACTGATCTCCCCAAAACCACGTGGCTCTCAGCGAGGAGAAACAGTGGTTTCATCCCTCCTGGGGGCCCTGTGTCTCCCAGGTTGTGTTGTCAGAGGTGCTGGAACATCTGCGCATCCCACGGCCTTGCCAGGCTGTGTCTGTGCAATTACTGCTGCTGCTCTTCCCCTCTGGGAGCCTGTCAGGCTCCTAATGCTGCCTGTCATGTCTCCAGTGCTTCCCAGGCAGGCAAGGACAGCCTGCATGGCTCTGCTTTTCCAGGGCTGCAGGATGAGTCCTGTGGAGCCCCTGTGCTCAGCTCGCCCTCGGTGCTGGGTGGGAGATGCTGAGCCCAGGGATGGGGAGACAGAGAGCTCCAGGGCAGCTGGGGGGGATTTATCAGCAGATCCTTCCTTCCTGCATCCCAGGCTGTTCTGGGGGGGATTTATCATAGCTCCATCAGGGAAGCTGGGGCAGATCCCTCCTTTCTGCATCCCAGGCTGTTCTGGGGGGCATTTATCACAGCTCCATCAGGGAAGCTGGGGCAGATCCATCCTTCCTGCATCCCAGGCTGTTCTGGGGGGATTTATCACAGCTCTATCAGGAAAGCTGGGGCAGATCCATCCTTTCTGCACCCCAGACTGCTCCCTCCTCTCTCTGCACCTCGGCTCTGCTGGCAGGTGCTGGAGGAGCAGGGACACTGCAGCCATGGCAAATGTCATCACACCTCACACACCTCGATGCCTCTCGCCTGAATTTTCAGCCTGACTGACAAATTCATTTCAGTTTCGTGATCAGGCACCATCCTGTGCTCCCCTGACAGAGAGATTTAGCTCCTTCCTGCTGAAATGTCACCTCCTGAGCGTGACAGGTTTTCCATTTCTCCTGGGTGGGTCTGGGGCATCCTCATGGGACACCTCCAACCCTGCCCTGTGTTTGGCACTGACTCAATAAGGGACATTTTGGGGCACTGGTGGCTTCCCCAGTGCTCCCAGCAGACCCCATCACCTCTCCTGTCAATGCCAAGCAGTGGGAACAACAAGTGAGGGAACTTCTAATGGGAAATCCAGGAATCCTCAGAAAACAAGACTGCAAAAAACCTAAACCCCACCCAGCTCAGCCTTCTCCTGAGGATGTTCAGCTCTGTCCAGGTCCTGTCTGAGCTGTGATGTCCAACCTCAGACCTCCCCTCCCCAGGCAGTTCATTACAGCCCTCACCTCATTAGCCATGGTTAATGGCTCACCCTCCTTGACTTTAAGCCCATTAATTCTGTTCGTGGAGAACAGATCATTCCCTTCCACTCTGCAGCAGCTTTTAAGATCACTCTGTCTTCTCTGCTGAACACCTTCCCAGCAACCATTTCATGCCCAAAGCGTCCTTATCTCCCCCAAAATGAGGAGCCCAGCGTGGGGTGTCTCACAGGGAGATGTGCTGGAGCAGCAGGGAGCTCTGTGGCCATAACCATAACCCAAGGAAGCATCACCAATGCCTTGCCTGCTCCTGCAGCTTTCCCACCAAATTCCCAGCAATAATGGATTTTATTGCTGGCCCAGGGGCTGGGCTGCAAAACTCCATCCTCCAGGGAATGCTCCCAGCACAGTCCACAGGGAACTCGCCACACCAACGTCCAGCAGAGTGGGAGAAGGGAGGAGAGGGGATTCAAGGCACAAAACCACGATAATTCACATTTTCCTAATTTCCCTCCCATCCTGCTCCACTCAGCCCCGCAACAGCCCCAGGTTTTCAGGCCAGAATTGCACACTCAGTGCCCTCACTCACCGTACTGGATTTGAGCGCATCCCCACTGTCCTCTTCAGATTCTAGTGCAACAGGTAAAGATTTCTGTGGCGGGGAGAAGGTTAAGTCCCACCTCAGTAGCCGAGGTTCAGCTTTGTCCCCGAATCTCAGGTTTTCCAGTTTCTGCACCGTGGGCTCGGCAGAGGAAGCTGGCCTGAAATTCTCTTTGTTCTGGGACTTAGACCTCAGTCTCTGAACCCCGAAGCCCCGCTCTTCCCCGCGGTGCTCGTCAGCCACGCTCCTGCAGCCTCCCCCTTTGCTGTAGTGTCTTTTTTGGGTGTGAATCTCTTGCATATAAGAATCCATCCTCATGAGGGGCTTCATCTCCATCTCGTAATTACTCATCTTCTCCTCGTCCAGCTCAAGCAGCTTGGAGCTCCCTGAGCTGTGGTTGTGGGACCTGTGGTGGGAAGTCCATGAAACCGTGGCTGGGGAATCTGTCCACCTCTCTCTCGGCTTGTGGTTGGAGGCCGAATGTTTGTGTCCCCCGCTCCGACCTCTGTAGTCTTCGGGGCCAGCGTTGGAGCCCAGCTGCCCGCTGCGCATCGTCCCGCTCCTCCCGGCGCGGCTCCCGCCCACCTTCTCTTCGCTCCAGCTGTTGGGGCGCAGGTAATCCCCGCCGCGCCCCTCCAGCAACATCTGGATCTCGCCGCCCCTCTCTTCGTCCACCGAGACCTGCCTGGAGAAGTGGGCGCTCTTGTTCCTGCAGGAGGGGCCGAGGGGCGGCGTGGAGCAGGGGCTGGCGGGGAAGCTCTGCAGCGGGCTGTCCTCGGGGGTCAGGTCGGACGGGGTGGTCCCTTTGCGGTACAGCTCGGGGCTCTCTTGCTGCAGGGGCGTCCCGGTGGAGAGGACCTCGATGTCATCGCTCGAGTTCTGCCGCTTCGGCCGCTGGCATTCGAGCCCTTCGGGGGCAGTCGTGGAGAGGAGAGAAGGGAGAGGGGAAGGAAACAGGATTATTTCTGGTGCGTGCATGCCCCGAGGGTTTTTCGTGGCACGGAAAGGGGAGCAGAGGGTTGGGTGGTGGGGAGCACTGGGATGGGATTGGGACAGCAGTGTCACAGCTGCTGGCAGCACTGGTGTGACACCAAAGCTGCCCCGAGCCTTGCCTTGCAGAACCATGACCAGCATGGGAATGGTTTTCCAACCCCAGAGGTGTGGAGAAGCCACCAAGAGGTTCTGATGGTTTTTTGGGATCCATCTGACCACATTTCCTATCAGTTCCCTGTCTGGAAGCTTGGGAAGGGAAACCTGTGATGTGGCTGGTGGCACACCCTGTGCTCTGTGTTTGTGTGTGCTGGGTGACACTGGGACCACCCTGGGTGTGTCCTGGGTGACACTGGGATAACCCTGGGTGTGTTGGGTGTCACCAGGATCACCCTGGGTGTGCTGGGTGTCACCAAGATCACCCTGGGTGCCACTGGGATCACCTCACACCAACCTCACCCCCTCCTGCATGGGAACCACCTCAGTTTTCATCTGCCAGGTGCAGGAGGGAAACAGCCACATCTGGGCAGGTGTGCAAGAAAAACCTCACAAACCTCACATCCAAGAGCTTTCCTGCCCCACACAGCCCAGCAGGACATGGAGATTTCCCTGCTCAGCCCCAGGATGGGATGCATGGACAGGGCTGGTTGTTCAGGGCCACCTGAGGCCAGCGCCCCCCATCCTCCTCATTCCACTGGAGGCTCCTCATTCCTTCAGCTCAGAGACTTCCCAGGCAGGGTCACCCTGGGATGGGCACCTCAGGAGGAGCTGAATGTCTTCTGCTGCTGGAGGAACATGGAACAAAAACCTCCAATGTGTTCATCACTGATGAAACACCAAACGATTTCAAGCAAGCTAATAGTGGTTGATTCTCCTTTTCCCCTCTCCAGTCATTCCCAGCTAAAGCCATGCTAAATTAGGTGAATAATTTGATAAATATATTAAGTGCCTAATGCCCCTGAAATGCATCTAATTGTGATTGCTATGGTGAGACAAGAAACGAGTCTTGAAAAGGGAGAGCTCAATTTTCCTGCCATCATTTAAAAATGAACGCTCAGCAGCGCCTGCTCAGGTCTCTCCACATCTGCTGAGCAATTTTCGCTCTTGGATCTTTTTGGGGAGCTGCTGGGATGTGCCTTCACCCCTGCCAGGGTTGGGATACACACGGGGAATGCTGGAGTCCCCATCAGAGCACTGCCAGGGAGGGAAATAGTGAAAAAACTGCTTGGAAATCTACCCAAGCAATTTATGGGAAATGGTCTCCTAATGACTCGAGTTTTTGGGATGATACTCACATAGTCCAGCCTTCATTTTTCCCCTGTTTGTGTGTGGGAGACTGAATCTCCTGGAGTTTATCCAGGACCCCTGAAAAATCCTAGTATTGGTGGGAAATTGCTGAGAAGGAGAAAGGTGGAGTTCGCCCCTCTGTTTTCCTGCAGAATATCTGTCTCTGGGATAAAGGACAAGATTTTTTGGGGCTGTTTTCCAGTCATTCATGTCCTACCCACCTTCCAAGATCCCAAATGGGAAACTGAGGCACAGAGGGAATAAAGGATTTCATGTGAGAAAGCTGGAAAGCCACCTGTGGGAATGGGCTCACCCAAGGTTTTGGGCTTTATGTTCTCCAGTTCAGGGATTTTGCTGGAATTCCAGGGATTTGCAAGCTTCCCACCATCTCCAAGGCCTCCAGAGCTGATGTCCAGCCCCATAACCAGCCCCAGCCTGGCTACACCCACTGCTGCTGTTCCCAGAGCCCCAGAGAGGGGACAAGAAACCTCAGAGATGCTCCCCACAGCCACACCAGGGAGATGGCATCAAATTCCCCTCATCCCAAATCTTCTACAGGGGGCTCTGCCTTCCCTGGGTTAATCCCTGAGGTCAGGGGCTCTGGGAGGAGCAGGACTGGGGGTGCTGGGGCACAGCTGGGGCACATCTGGGGCACATCTGGGGCCCTGCTGCCCCCCAGCCCCGCAGCCCGCAGGGATGGAGGCGTTTCCTTGCGCAGGAACTCCGCGGATGCACCGGGGCCCTTTCGGCACCCGAGGATGTGCAACAATTATCCGGAGCTAAAATTAGCCCCGGGGCACGTGATGTTCCTGGAAGAAGGGTTGTGAGAGCGAAGGAGGATGCAGAGCACCGAATGTGGATTTCCAGAGGGATGGAGGCAGCCGAGCCCGGCCTCCGAGGCTTCAAAGGCAGAGCTGAGTTTGGGATTTGGGAGCCTCTGGCTCTGTGTGCTGCTGTCTCTGAGCGGGAGGACTCGGTTCTGCAGCACTACCCAAGCCTGGGTGATCCTGCTGTGTGCAGGAATTGGGGTTTTGGGCACCTGGAGATGCCCATGGCTGATGGGCATGGGAACCATGGGTGAGAGGGCAGGATATGAAACAGGGATAGTTTTGTTTTTACCTTCCAGGAGCTGCAGCTGCCCAGGGGTGCCCAGGGCTGATGCTGAGGTGGGCACAGACCCCTCTGTGGTGTCCCACAGCACCCACAAACCCCTCTGAGGGGGCACCCAGCACCCCTGGCACTCGCTGTGCCAGGTGGGTGGTACCCACACCCACCTCCCTGCCAGGAACACATCCAGCACCCAGCATCCCGTGGAAAGGGAGCACAGCCAGCACCCAGGGGGTGGGTGGCACTCAGCACCCACCACAGCACGCCGTGGGCAGCACTGGGGACCTGCAGCACCCTGCAAGGCAGCACAGCCAGCACCCAGGGTTCTGAACGAGGAGGGCACATCCAGAACCAACCATTCTGAATATGGGGGGCACATCCAGCATCCAAAATCCTGTACAAGGGTGACAAATCCAGCACCCACAATCCCCTGAAAGGGAGACAAATCCAGC